ATTTAGGGGATTCACAAGACGTGTTAACCGTCGTAAAATCTTAAGCTTAACACTTGTTTATGTAAAATAGCGGTTAAAATGGTTGGGGGGTTGGCTAATTATATATTCTTTATCAGTTTAAAAGAATTTCGGTTTAGTTAGAAATCCCCTAAAACCATTTTAATTAAAAAAGATGTTAACCTTAAGATTTTACGACGGTTAACACGTCTTGTGAATCCCCTAAATGAGTTCGATATGAGTAAGTATCGAGTACTTCTCTCCGATACATTTGTGGCATCGATACTTTTCTTCAATATTTTTAAAGAGTACAGGTATCGAGTACAAGGTCGTATCGGAACAACACTACAAGGCACAGCTTCTGTTGATTCAGAAAGAGGGTGAGGCGCTGGGAATTTGAATTCAATATTTTGTATTCTGCGACCAATGTTGCTTTTTAAATAAATTCCTGCCAAGAATAGTTTGAGATAAAAACTTTTCCTCAATAACTCGGTGTATTTAAAGTTACCTGCATCCCCCTCCCTGCCATATGACCCAACATCTACTGCCAGAAATTTGCAATCTGCATCGACAATCGCCAACAAAACCATCGAATAATACTCCTTATAATTAAAAAACAAGGATCCACTGTTATTAGGTGATTTTATTCGTATGTGTTTGCCGTCTATGGCTCCCACACAGTTGGGAAAATTCCACAGTGCCATAAATTTGTTTGCAGTTATCCGCATGAAATCTTCTGTTAGTTGTGGTAAAACGTCTAGCATATTCTTCACAATACTTTGTGAAACTTGCCTCACTATATGAGAAATCCATGAATGAGATACCCTATATTGAAACGCCAAAGAACGGAATGATTCTCCAGTAGCAAGAAATCTGAAACAAAATATAAGTTGAAAATAAATCTGAAATCTGAAACAAAATATACCTAAGTTTAAAATAAAGCATATTTAGAGTTTTATTATCTTTATCATTTTAGGCTTGGTTTGCAGTAAGAGATAGGCGTATGTTCACGATTACTACATAAGAAGAAGAGGTAAACCAGGTACTGGTTCATCGAGTAAAGCAGCTAAAAGACGGTCCGTAAGCTTATCTTTTTTAGATAGCTGTCCTTCAGCAAAGAGATGATAGAGTTAAAAGTCTTGTAATATATTAACGTTCGTCTTATACGTTTTATATTGTCTTTAGTACTATCAGTAAAATTGGAGACCCGGGTGCCGATAGGAGTGTGGTGGAATACCTGTGTGAAGGAGAGCCTGGTTCAACTGATTTGCAATTTGAAGACTACAATACCTATGTCAGTACAAAAAATGAGAAAATTGAAATTGAACGATCTCCTTTCCCCAAGAGCAAATCCCAGTCGGTAAGGTCTAAGAACTCTGAAGAGCGTTTAAAACTTCTCCGAGAAATTGCGGAAAAAAAACAATAATTCAATGCCAAAAATTATTAAAAAAGTGCCACAAAAAATGCAAGCAATACTGCGCCTGCAAATTGGCAACATAGTTGGTGAAGCAGAAATCGAGTTTTTGTCGGGAACTGCTGATAGTCGTCCAGTATCATCAGAAAGCTTTGCATCATGTGATTACCAATATTCTCTAGGAACTCCTTCAACGGAAATTATTATTTCGGATGACCAGTACGATTCGTTAAATTTAACGAATATACTATGAGTTGTCACAAAATATATTTATTGATACATATACAATACATATCGCCGCAACTATGTCAAACTATCGAATGTGAAATTGGGTACTTTTCAGGAGAGCAATATAACTGTTGTAAAAATGTTGTCATTAGGAAAAAGTATGGAATTCGACACTTTGTTAAAGCCAATATCCTCTGCTTCTAAACGCATGCGCAAGGTATCGCAATTAAAAAATCATTTTTGCACAATGAATTACGAACGGTACTCAGATGTTTATTTTTTTAAGTTTATCCGACTTTTTAATTTTAAAATTTTTTTCTATAAAATGTAGGTAATTCAATAGCATAAGCCATGCAATTAAAGTTTCAAACTTTGTTCAAGATTTAATTAGCTTTATTTTTTGTAAAACATATATTAAAATTAAAAACAAAACGGATAAACTTGAATTTATGAATATCTGAGTACCGTTCGAAATGCCACACCGTGTTCACTGTAATAATATTCTCTTGTTCCTCCGTATACAAGGTTAAAAAACAGCGATCTCTGTTTTTATACATTGTCGTTATATGTAAGATGTTTTTCTTTATGTACATACGTACATATGAATATGAAAGTGAATTATCCCCGCAAACATATTCTGAGCGCTCAGAATATATGAGTTGGAAAGGAGTCCTAGGTAAGTAAGAAATATGAGTTTCAAAAACAAACATTTTTTTACTCTTATATGAATCTTTTAGGAGTCATATATGATCCAAGTTATGAGCCAGCACTTTGTGCCAGTATAAAAACAATAACGACTAGAAATTTATATCTAAACTTGTTTATACAGATATGAAAAATAATTAGGAAGGAAAAATAAACAAAATTTAGCTGCACTTAGCATTTAGCAACTGCTATTACATGAATGCTGCAATATAAATATACATATATATGTATGCGCAGAGGTTTGTATATAAATATCCAACAGTATTTGAAATGAATTCCTTGCTAACATGGCTCTAAAGTAAGTTCATTAAGAGAGTTGAAGAATAAAGCCAATAAGAGTCACAGAACAGCATACAAGGAGCTCCGAAAGTAGGCATTTATGAGGCCAATAAGAGTCATTTAAGGGCTTCAAAAAGAGTCCAAAATGAGCCGTATATGAGGCCAATAACAGACCAATATGACTCATATTGAGGCTCATTTGATGTATGAATTTAAGCTCATATAGGTCGACCTACGCAGGAAGGGAAATACCCTCATTTCAGACTCTTAAATGAGCTCATTATGAGCACAAAGGCTCCGAAATGGGACTCCTTAAAGACTCATTTATGACTCCAAATGTTTGCTGGGATATGAATTTTCTGTTTTGGCATTAATAAATTCTAAATATCACGATCATATTGTTGAAAAAACTGAACAGAATTTTTTTATTTAGACTGCTCTGTGCTAGTCCTCTAAGCTTTAATTAATGGGGCATATTCTTGTTTTCGTACGAATCACGAAATTTTCTTATCATTTTCTATACGAAGAGGCGTATTCTGGTTTTCGATTCGTACGAAAACAAGAACACGCCTCAATATATGTAGGACCATTTCCCAGCCATTGGTTAACTAATAAAAAACCAGCGGTTTGTAACTATTGTTAACTAATGGATGAATATTAGTAAACTACAGTCAACCATTAGTCAAATTAATACTGTGGAATAAAAAGTGGTGGTTTAAAATAAGTATATTAGTTAACTAATGACTCTGAAAACAGCCCATAGGTGCTTGGACACTTGCATATTAAAGGAATTCCAAAAGTAACGAATTAGCAAAGAAAGATTCGACCACCTCCTTGCAAGAGAGAACTGGGTAGATATATCAATGGCTCTATGTGAAAGGGAAAACTCTTTCGTCCAGCGAAACATCGAAAGGGGTTGGTATACCATATGGTACCACAGCGGTATTATTCTTGACCTACAGGTGTGAGGAGGGTTCTGCTCTTCAGTCATTTCAACCTAAAGTAATTATTTTTTAGTTTTGAATCCGTGTTTGCATTCACCAACGCAAAAGTTTCTATCAGCCGTCGCGAACCAAGCCGGTCATTTGCTGGTATAACGGGTGATTTTTTTGAGGTTAGGATTTTCATGCATTAGTATTTGACAGATCACGTGGGATTTCAGACATGGTGTCAAAGAGAAAGATGCTCAGTATGCTTTGACATTTCATCATGAATAGACTTACTAACGAGCAACGCTTGCAAATCATTGAATTTTATTACCAAAATCAGTGTTCGGTTCGCTTTACGTCCGATTTATGGTCTACATAATCGACCAAGTGAGCAAACAATTAATGCGATTGTGACCAAGTTTCGCACTCAGTTTACTTTATTGGACATTAAACCAACCACACGAATGCGTACAGTGCGTACAGAAGAGAATATTGCGTCTGTTTCTGAGAGTGTTGCTGAAGACCGTGAAATGTCGATTCGTCGCCGTTCGCAGCAATTGGGTTTGCGAAACACATTTCGAACCGAACACTGATTTTGGTAATAAAATTCAATGATTTGCAAGCGTTGCTCGTTAGTAAGTCTATTCATGATGAAATGTCAAAGCATACTGAGCATCTTTCTCTTTGACACCATGTCTGAAATCCCACGTGATCTGTCAAATACTAATGCATGAAAATCCTAACCTCAAAAAAATCACCCGTTATAACTGAAAACAATGGGCCTTATGCATAAAAAGTGAGCTTAAGCTCAGACTCAATTTTTGCACTGAAAAGGTGAGCTCAAGCCCAAGAATTTGTACTGAAAATCGAGTCGGAGCTTAATCTCACTTTTTATGCATGAGGCCCATTGTTTATCAATATTAAATTAATATAATAATAATATTTCATTAAGTTGCACAGCTGAATTCTTGTTCGCAATGATTTCTCTATCCCAACTTTCTAGTTACCTCAAAAATATAGACAATTTATGTTCAGGTGATATTGGCTTTGGTATCCGATTTGTTGGTTTTGTAAATATATCATCTTTTATGTAGCTAAGGACATAATCGAACAAAATCGGAGTCAAGCGGAAGTATTCCCTGAACTTTTTTTCATTGCTATGTAGATGTCGACACACCAAAATCTCAAAAGTCCCCTCGTTTTCACGTTTTGTTGAACAGTTCCAACTCCGACTACCTTTCAGCTTCTTCTTCCGATAACTCCTCTCCCAAAAAAATTAGTAACCCGACGTCGAGATCGTCCATTTTTATTTAAAATAAATAACTTCAAGGGACAAAATGCGGAAAACCCAAATTTAAGAAAATGCTGTCATGTGAACATTACGTTCATCTGGCTTTACATAAAAGCGTCACCGCTATTATCGTTGAGAATAGCGTTCGGTATGGTACGGTCGTAATATTACGGCACCGCTTTTCGTTGAAACCAAAGCTTTACGCACTTTTTGCCGCCATAAAAAAGGCTGCAGCACGCAATAGCGGCGGATATATTAAAAAAACATGTTTTTGCATTAACAAAAACCATTTCGATGTCTTTAACTCATTTCTTGAATTCTTGTTATTAAAAAAACAACTCTACATACATACGTTATTGGTTAAAATACTATTTGTCTATAAAAACTAATGCTGATTCCGTTTGTCCCAAAAAATTTTGTTCTTCCATGGTGCAAAATGTGTTTGACGTTACACTCAACCCTGTAAAAGTGCATGTTTTGCCTACTTATCCTTGTCGGGTTCACGCATTTCATAATATTATCATTTTAAGCAATATTCTGCTTTACAGGGCAACCAACTCCTCTGACAAAACATAGAAGGGCAGAAGATGAGCCTTTCTTGCCTTATTGGAGTGCAATATTTTAAGAAACGAACGTCAGTTCAAAATGGCTCCTCGACGAGTATGGTCGTGCTGACCTGTCGAGTTTTGTTTAAGCAAATTTCTGATTTATTTACACATAAAAATGAAGTCGGTTCACTAAATAAAAAATTAAGTTTTAAAACAAGAGAAGATGATACTACATATAATATATTAATTACATAAGTAATGTAATAGACGCCGACATAAAGAGAGTTGAAATTAAAATTGAAAGTTAATTTCTAAACGTACCGTTGATACGGTACTATCGTATGAACAAAGTAACTGTGAAATAAAAAGTTGCATGCATAACTGTTCCACATAACGTAACTGAAATTTTTTAGCCACAACCAAAAATTATAATTTGACGAATAATTAAAAAAATAATCAAATTGGAGGAATAACCTGGCGATATGAGGACACTTTAGTTCCCTGCCATTAAAACACAATAAGTTTACCATTGGAGGAATAACCTGGCAAAATGAGGACTTAGTTTCCAGCCATTTAAATTTGAATCTGGATAATAAATTCTGACATATGAGCAACAATTAGAGGAATAACCTGGTTACCTGTGGACCATTAAATCACAATACACTTTTTAACTGGATATAATTGACAAAGAATTGAAACGAATAAGACGTAACATACATATATAAGCAGAAACTTAGGCACGTGGTTCTGGTCCTCAGCGGTATTACCATCGTGTATCAGTGGAGCGACGATTGGATACAGCATTTGGAAAACAACATACTAAGATATATAGTTTGAAATTAGAGGAATAACCTGGCGGTGGTTTATATAAACCGGCCAACCTACCCAAAACCCCCAAAAAAAAAAACGAAACGAACGCAGAAAAAACCAAAGCAGAGGAAACTCTTCTACTAACTCTTCAGAAGAATCGGTGTCGCTGTATGGGACGAGTGCGCCTTTAGTTAAGTTCTGC